AAAGATGATAAAGTCCAAGCTAAGTCCGGTATCTTCACCACCGTTGATGACAAGAAAAAAAAATATAAATATTATTAATTTGATTACATAGTTCGCACCCGTTTAATTATAATAATGTATAATGTTCTTTATTTCTTATTTTGTCTTTTTTATACTCGATTTTATTAAATATAATGTTTAATTAAATAAATTTTTTTCGGCTTATTAATATAACCAACATTCTGAAAACAAACATGCTATTTTACAAGTGACTGAATTTATGACTGAACAAAATTTTAATATATCGATATAACATCGCAATCGAATTTATTTATGACGAAATACTCTACAAAATAAAAGTTACAAGTAAAAATAACGAATATGATTTAAATCCAATTCTACGTTACACAGAACTTTTAAGAAAAAAAAAATTTCTCTGCTCGATCGCATATTGCTTTAATCAAAAGAATGACAAATTTTCGTAAAAAGGGTTATAATTATGGAGGAATAGAAATTTATGCGGCAGGAATATTTCGACATAATGATTTGTCCCTGGCTCATGTTCACTGATAACTTTTAACCAATAAATCACAATCCGGTAATCAGTGTTGACCTTTTGGACTAATGGACTTTTGGACCATTGGACTATTGGACTACTGGAATTAATCCATTCCAATTCCATTAAAATTTGGACTATTGGACTATAGACTTCTATCAATTTGTATAAAATTTATATTATGTAAATCATTTTTATTGATATTTGTAAATAATTAGATTCCCCTAAAAATATCTTGAAGTTTCCATCTAGCAGGATGAGGTAAATTTGAAATATTTGTAATATTAATTCAAGCTCTCTGTCACCTGAAAAATTCAATTCAGGTCAGTAGAATCGTTTTATTTGAACGATTTTATTATCCAGAAACTTTCAAATTTTGACATTTTTCGGCACGAACATCGTAAATCATATGTATGATCCGTGATAGCAAACATCTCATATTTGGTGATGATTTCTGGTATTTTTTCTTACGAAAATTATAATTATAATATAAAACAAATAACTCTAATCCTTTGAAACAGAAACTTTTACAAAAAAACTAAAGCTTTCTTTTTTGCATACAATTGATTTGATCATTTTTTTTTGGAAAGAACTACAAATATTAAGCGCTAACAAAAAACTTTTGAATTTACAACGTTGATACAATTTAACTAAATACAAATAAAAATAACAAAAAATTTATATTATATTTCAGGTGGCTGATACTGTATATTGATCATTTTATGTGGTGAAATTTTTGTTATATTACGCTCGATAGAAAAATCAACAATGAAAAAATTGCGAAAATTGCGCCTTTTTTTTTTTTAGTTAAAATTCTCATTCTTCAAGAATTGCAGAGAAAATCAATGAATTTATGATCGCTTACTTTGATTAAAGATGATTTATTCAAGCAAATTGAAAGATTACGCAAATAAGGAATAGAGATTAATACGATTTTGCTTTGATCATAACAATTAACGACTACTATTATAAATAATATACGTTAATAATACATTGTAAATTTTCTCTTTCCGCTACTATAATGCTGTTATCTTTGTCCTGCTTATTTTGTAAATTAATGTATGTGTTAATGGGTGAGAACAATTCACACATAATTTCGTAATTTTGCTATAACTTGTTAAATGCTGTGAAATTACATCGATAACATATGCAACGATGTCATGATACTGATCACGCATGGAATGCAGTAAATAATGACGTTATTTCTTCTTCATTATTACTATTTTTGCTGGGATAAAAATACTTTCCTTTCAATTTTTAGATATATAATTCTTATTTATATTAAAAATAATAAAAAAAGAATGTTTGTCTATTTTTAAAAAAAGTTCTCATGAAATATATTCAGCATACGAATTAACTCGACGCTAACATTAAGAATATAAGTCATTTACAAATTCAAATTTCTATAGTCTATATACAGTATCAAGCTATATTAATAGTAATCTGCACAAAACAAACAAAATTTTTTGGAAATCGAAATCCCAGTTAACCATTTATTGATAGACCATCAAATCGATTTCATGTGCAGATGCCATGAAAAAATATTCTTTTGTTTATAAAAAAAACAATAACGTTTTTTTTAACGATAAACATTTAATAATCAAATATATTGTCTCATTTTACTAATAATAATTTCACAACAGATAAGATAATCGAGTAATGTTACATAAGTTACGTATCACGTGTTGGTGCGAGTTATTTTTAAAGTAATGTATTTATTGTAGTGTAGTATGGCGACTTCAAAATTTGAAATTCTCGAAATTATTAGAACTTAATATTTTATAAATTTGTTTATTTTAGTGCACCGAAGGGTCGGGTCAAACCCGTTATATGCATTTTTTAAGTACACTTTAATATGTAAAATTAGCACGGGTCGAATCGATTGCCGGACTGTTCGGCGATCTTTACCCGACTCTTTCGGAGCACTAGTTTATTTAGTATGGTCATTGGAAAGATTGTTAGGAAAATCAGGCTCAGAGAATTTTTTGACTAATTATCTAAAAACATAAGAACTAAAAATGCAAAAAGTAAAACTTTGTTAAAAAAAAAAATTCTCAGAGCCTGATTTTCCCATATAACGAATGGGGAGGGGCTATGACAATTCAATCAATTAATTAATATAGTTAACTATAAATGTTAGATCAAAATCAAGATTAAGGCGCATTGAATGGAGATAAGATTTACAGCTAAACCTTTTTTTGCCAAACAATTTGCCGAAAGGAAAAAATAATTTTTTTTTAATTTTAGATTCTGATAAAAATAGAAAAATGTAGATCATTAAAGTTTTTTACGAAAGGATATAGATATATAAACGCACAAAGATTTCAATTTCGAGTTCTTCACTTTTTTCAAAAGAAAAAAAAAAAAAGGACTTAAGAAATAACCTCTTAAAGAAATAATTTCTTTTTAAAAATAATTTTCACACACATAACCTCCTTTTTTTCTTTTAAAGAATTCAATAAAAATGAAATTCTCAACCGTTATTTTCTTGATCGTTGCTCTTTTGGCTTCAATTGCATTCTCTGCTCCTTCCGAATTCAAAAGGGATGATGACTTTAAAAAAGTTTGTAAAGACATCGTATTTAAAAAACCTGTCGATGGTATCATTTATAAGATTAATAGCACCCAAGTCGCAGATTTTGTTCTCCCCGAAGAATGCAT